GTATTTGTGTGTGAACATGTGTGTGTGTGTGTGTGTGTGCATGTGAATATATGTGTTTGAGTTTATTTTTGTGTTTGTGTGAGTATGTGTGTGTGTGTGTGTGTGTGTGTGTGTGTGTGTGTGTGTGTGTGTGTGTGTGTGTGTGTGTGTGTGTGTATGTGTGTGTGTGTTTGAATATGTGTGTGTGTGTGTGTGTGTGTGTGTGTGTGTGTGTCTATGTGTGCTATGCCGTAGAGTAGAGAGAACGCCAATCATCTCCACCACGAGGACGACTCGGTCAGAGCTGCGTCCCCGCTAATGCCACGAGCGGTTTCCATCCACGAAACAAGGGAGCGGATGGAGATCATCTCCGCCACTCGAGAAGATTTTGAGATGGTTCCGTGGATGGGCGTCGTGCCATGGACTGATCGCCCTATTCATTATTGGTGTGAAGAGGATTGGGAGTCCGCAATGTCCTTATGTCCATGGGCGAACGAGTATCGCCTTGCTTACATGTGGGAGTGGGGAAATATGATACAATTGTTGCCTTCAGATTTGTTGCCGCAAAAGACATTCGCCTTTGCGGCCTCCGATTCCAACTTCCACTTTCTAGAGTTCAAGTGCATCACAACCTCGCCCTGGACGTGGTCCCTGATTAAGCAATTTGAGTTGCTGACATGCGCAAGGTTCTGCGACTTCTTGAGTGATTACCCTTTGCCTAGTTGTCAGAATTCTTCCAGTGTGATTTCCTACGGTTGTGTCCATGTGAAAATAGAACACTTGCCTGTCAGCAGGATATTATGTGTGGCTTGCACGAACAATGCAAGAACTTTGACAGACGCCGTCGTTTTTGCGACCCACAATAGTTTACATCTTACTAAAGGTTGCCTCTCGCTTCTCAAGTGCTTAGGAAGGGAGGCCAAGTCCGATTTCATGCAGCACGTGAGAGTATCAGAAGGCGACCAAAAGTTGGAGGTTGAGACTCACATTGCACGCATCAGAGATGCAATGGGGAAGTACTTGGCTAGAAACGGGATGTTTGTTCGCATGAAATACATCTCTCCATTCTCGGAAAAGGGAAAATACAAAGACCCCCTCCACCTTACTTACGGTTCGTCGTTGTCTGCTTTGTACGGGTTCAGTAAAAAACAACGTTTGCTTTCAACTTAACTGTAGGTGAACGGGTCACGGTGCAACTTGGGGAGTGAAATTGCTCGTGCTTACGGGTGTATGTGAGGGATGTCGTGTCATGGTTTGGTCCGGTGTCCTCTGTGTTACGAAGGAGGGCGCGGGACAAAGGGCGCCATTGGCTTCGTCGGTGCCGTGCTCCAGGACCCGGGGTGCCGGACCGTGCTGCGGGGCCATGCCATTTTGTGGTAGGACCCGGGGTACAGGACCGCATCAGTGCATGCCAACACTAGGGATGAAGGACCCGCGCTGCAAGACCCAGCCTGAAGGGTCGTACCGTTGCATGTCAACACTAGGGATGAAGTAACATGTCATGTCATGGTGTGGTCCAGCGTCCTCTGTGTTACGGAGGAGGATGTGGGACCGTGGCAGTGCATGGCAAAGCGTGGGGCAAAGGACGTCATTGCATGGTAGAACCCCCGCTCAAGGACCCGGGGTGTCTGACAGTGCTGCATGGCCATACCATTTCCGTGGTATGGTCCTGCGCCTCCAGAATGCTAAGGCGCCGGATGCGACGGCACGGTAGGACCCGCCATACATGTCCCTATGTTGCCAGGCTCCCGCCACAGTGCCCACGATGCATGACAATGCCATTGAATGGTAGGACCCGACATGAAGGACCGTGCAATTCTGCCGTGGGGCCCGAGACCGTGTCATTGCATGGTATATATACTAAGCGACCTAAGTTGTTGCTTAGTATATGTAGTGCTTCCGTAAGATGGAAGCACTGGATGGTTACATGTTCGTATGTTGGCAGGCTGTGCTGTCCGTTAGTATGTTGGCAGGTTAATCAGCGGTGAAGGTAGGCTAAGTTGTCGGTTGGTACGTTTGAGTGTCTCTTTGCTAGAGTGCAGCACAATCGGGGGTCTGTGTAATAACAATCCCTCCTGTGTGTGTGTGTGTGTGTGTGTGTGTGTGTGTGTGTGTGTGTGTGTGTGTGTGTGTGTGTGTGTGTGTG